CATTAGAAATGGAATGGATTGGACTGAATCCCAAAGGAGGCAACGATGTGGACATTGTAGGTGTGAAGGGCATAATAGAACCAATTGCCCTGTGCTGGCTGAAGATGTAATCAATAACGCATAACAAGTTTGTATGTTGCTGTGTATTTAAAGAATAAAATTCCTCCAAAGTTATATCATATGTCAATTCTAGTTTAATTAAACTGTTCTGTTATACAATAAATTAATTACAACAACGTTTACAGTTAATATTAAAACAAATACAAATTACTTCTTCAACGTATTATCGTATTTCTGGAGCGTGTAACCAGCGTGGTCCGGTGGCATATCAACTGTAAAAAAAATTTAATATTAGTAAAGTTAACATTTAGGTAAATAAATAAATATAGAACAATCAATTAAGTTTAAGTACTAACAACTTATTATTCAAATTACCTATTCATTTCTCTGCATGTGCTGCTCATGGGGACTTAGGATACATTGTCGTTGTCTATGGCAAGCACCACAATCTGGGTTCCTCCGAACTAACTCATCACCATCTCCCTCAGGGCTTCCAGCTTCCGCTGCTAATGCTGTATTCAAATCATGCCCTAAACCTGGATGATGGGAAGACGAACCCCCACCATAAAATCCTCCTCCCATAAATGACTGCTGTCCAAATCGATAATCTCGATAATCCATCATAGGTGCTGATGGAGAGATCATGTCTGGAACATATGGAGAAGATGTAAACTAGAACATACTACCACCCGACATACTCGGGACATGACCCATCGACTCCGATACTGGGAAATTACCTGCACCAGAGACTCCTGCTGTGTCAAACCCAAAAGATGTGTCCTGTGCAGTACCATACACATATTGTGTCACATCTGCATCCGGGGTCAATGTACTCGGATAATATGTCCCAGTTGGTGGCTCAGTCGGAGGAACTGGTATCTGTAAACCCTGGTGTTCAACTCGCTTTCATCGACGACTTAGTCCCTTTCCTTCTCGTCGACCCGCCCCAATGTGCTCCACCTGAACTTCGTCTAGTTGTGGTAATGTTGCAGCTGCAGCCGGTGTAAAAGGGAAACTGACCCTGCTCACCTCGTCTCGCAACTGCAAGCAGTGACCGATGCTCTCATGCATCATGGTAAAATCAAAGGAATCCCTATGTTCTTCACTGGTGCCATGATACATGTTCCAGAACATCGATCTACATATAACATAATAAATATCATCAGAATACTAAATTTGTAAATATGTCACAAGTAATTATTTAAAAACATGCGTAGATTTATACTCACTACATATCCTTCCTTTGCACTAGAAGGAGAAATCCATCACCTTGTATGTTTCCTATACCACACCATGTATTCTGAGCTATAGCTCAAGTGTGGTGTATCACACGCAGGTTGTGTCCATACACGATGATGTCGTGACTGCCACTCCTGCACAAATTGAACGTGCATGCGTGACCAGTTCGTGTTATCCTTGCCTCTCAACGAAAGATCATGCAATTTCTTTGGATGAATAGGAGGCGCAGGAATGTGTTGGACCATCCCAAATTGTCGCATGACACGATCTGCATAATGATACTCGACGATGTGGAAATTAATCAACGGGACTGTTGACCTCCATACGTGTGAGTCCTCCAAACAGTAAGGAGGTAATGTAGGTAGTAACTCCAAGTATGGTTGCCATACAAACTGCAAAATAACAAAACAATTAAGTACTTACGAATTATCATTTATAATCACAATTTTTTAATCTAAATCTTCAATATAATATTATAATTTAAAACTTACATCCTCTCTTTTTAAACGGTCAAAATACTCTGTATACTTCACAATTTTTTCTTTTGTTTCCTCTCTAGGTTTATGCAAGGCATAATTTCACCTGTTATAAAACAAAAAAACCATTAAATCTTCAATTTCCAAATTAATTCTAAATATATTTATTCTTAAATCGATCACAAGTAATATAGTTACTAACATTGCCCCTAGAAGAACATGAAATGTAGATAAAGGTGGATGAGGTGGGGCAATAAATGGAAACCGATACCATGCCCATAATTGCAGTAAAATACCTGACCCAGCAATTTCCTTGTGATCATAATTTGTCGCCACACACAACTCCCTGTGCATATTTGCCAGGACGCATGACCCCAACTCATTTGACCACAAACATCTAGGTCTTCGAGAAAACTCAGGTATCTGAGGGATACAAACGAGCTAGAGTGATCAGTTAATAAATATCCCCCAATCATGCGTAAAATGAACGCTCTAGTATAGCGTTCCATTTGTTCCTGGCTATGTATATGCTCAGAAACATCCAAAAAGTGCTGGTCAATCCACCTCATCCTCAATCGACCGCCAACAAGCATTGCCTCAGGGGGTGTCATGCCTAGAAGGCACTGCACAAGAGCTCCCCAATCCATACTTGCGTATCCAGTAATGGGTGCCCCAGAGATCTTCAACCCAAGTAAAATTGCAACATCCTCCAACGTGATAGTACACTCGCCGAAGGGCATGTGAAACGTGTGGGTCTCTGGTCTTCATCGCTCAACTAACGCGGATATTAAATGATTATCCACAGGAAAGTAACTAATATGCGCCATCCCCATAAAACCAGCCCTCTATAGAAGATCCTGAATAGCAGCTGGAATGTCACCACCACGCAACTCTGATTGTTTTGCACTCCTAACCTTCAGAACCCTATCCTCAGCTCCATTCCATATATGCTCAGATATATGGAATGGTTGAAGCCTTAATAATGAATCATCCATAGGTCCTGCATGAATCATCTGTCTAGACATCCTGATATAATTCAACAAACAAACAAATTAAATAAACTCAAACAACAAATTATTTATAAATTTTAGAAATACCTAAATACCTAATTTAAACCCTCATAATAATTCAACGTTTTCAATTGAAATCCTTCATTACTGCAATGAGAACGGCCCGTTCTGAAACCAGAACAGGCCATTCTCATTGCACAAAAAGTGTTTAAATTTGAGTTTTGGAACGGGCCGTTCCGAAAACAGAACGGGCTGTTCTGAACCCTTCCATACTTCACTAAATGAAACAACGAGAACGACCCCACAACGTCCTGTTCTACAGTCAAAACGGGCCGTTCTGAAAGTAGAACGGGCCGTTCTGATTTCACAACAGCCCGTTCCAGATCCAAAATAACACACATTTACTTTATCCAGAACGGCCCGTTCCAAAAACAGAACGGGCCGTTCCACACCCACAAACCAGTAACGAATATCCCTCAACATTTTCTATTTAAATTTTTTTCTTAATTTAAAATAAATAAACTTAAAAACATACCTGATAACAACGTGTAAATATACTTTTGTGGGAAAAAATCACTGGTATTCTCAAAGCGCCGGGACCTCAAGCGTTTTCTCTCAATAATCTTCCTCTTCCAACACCATCATTTAAACACAAAGTGAGGGGACCGCTGCCACGTGTAACAGATGACGCCTAGAGGGGAGGCGCCTTCAGTGTGTGCCACATCAGCACACATGGCGCCTAGGCTGGAGGCGCTTTCAACAGCACACATGGCGCCTGGATGCAAGGACGGAGCCAAGGGGGGACCTACGGGTGCCACGGCCCCCCCAACAATTTTAATTTTTTTTTATATACATATGGATTACTATATGGCACCCCCTATTTTTAATATAAACTCATATGTATAATTAAATGAATAACCCAAATTTATTTTTTTATTCAACTTTTGGACTTCTGGTACGGCCTGCTATGTGGTATCACTTTGGAATTTTTTTTTTTTAAAAAAAATGTAGCGCCTCATTTGATCATTCCAATTCTCGGCCCCCCAGTATTGAAATCCTAGCTCCGTCCCTGCCTGGATGGGAGGCGCCTTCAGTGTGTGCTACATCAGCACACTTGGCGCCTGGGGGTGGGGCGCCTTCAACAAGATTGTGCCACGTGTACAACACGCCTCCCCCCCAACGTTTTCTATTCATTGTGTCACCTCAACATACATGGCGCCTGAGGGGGAGGCGTTTTCTAAAAAACGCCCACCCCCCAGGCGTTTTCAGTGCCACGTTGGCGCCTACATGTCTGAAACTACCTATTTTGATAAATAGTTTTTTTAAAATTTATTTCGTGTATTTTTTTTTTAATTTAGATGGGTCAAAAAGCCTATAAGCAACTCCCTGTGCCACATCACTGCCATATCAGCTCTGATTCACTTTATGAGTTGCTTAAATTTTAGCAGAGTTGCATTTTAGCAGAGTTGCTTGTAGAAGCAACTCTGCTAAAATTTAAGCAACCCATAAAGTGGACGAGAGCTGATGTGACAGTGATGTGATACATGGGGTTCCAGATGCTTAGAACATCTGAAATGGGGATTGCTTATAAGCAACCCCATGTGCCACATCACTGCCACATAAGCTCTGGCCCACTTTGTGGGTTGCTTATATTTTAGCAGAATTGCTTCTACAAGCAACTCTGCTAAAATATAAGCAACCCACAAAATGAGCCAGAACTTATGTAGTAGTGATGTGGCACATAGGGTTGCTTATAAGCAATCCCCTTTGCACATGCTCTTCGATGGAAGGAAAGTGTGATTTGGAGTTGTGATGGTTATGACAACCACTAAACAAAGCACACGTACAGAAAACATATCTTTTTGATCAACATGACCAAACAAATCATTAAACCAAAAAAATATATTAAAAAAAACACATAGCAGTGCATTTAACTTTTCTTAGTTAAAGATTATAGGAACAAAGTTTCAAAACCTTCAACCACCTGCGGCATTCTATGATCATCACATGCTGACACAGCTATTGCAAGATCATGAATGAGTAAAAACTACGAATTGACTTTTAGGAAAGCACAGGATGAGTTGCATTCGTAATACAACAGGTATAATTATATATTTCTTCCTTTATAAGAAATAACTCAATCATGTTATCATCCGGTAATAGTTAAGATCCCGATCCACTAACAAGTACAAAACTGAAAACAAACAAGCGTCAATCTTGCAAAACTCATTATATTATTAAATCATCATTCATCAATACATGACAATAGCCACAACCGAACTTTCAACACCATAGCTTTCTATCACAAATCATATCTATAAACAAACCATTGATCTACAAATCCCTTTCTATAGTTTTGTCTATATTTCTTCTCTGTCCTCCTTTGCCTCCAATGCTTGGACTCCCCTCCGTGTAAGCTATCCTTCTTTATCAAGACTTTTACAAAGTCTTCTTAGTTATCATTTCTCAATCAATACATACCTATCTTTTGATTCTTTTCTGAGGCAAAATTTCTGTCACTTTTCTATCACAGGAACTACCACAACTTTTTCACTATCGTATTCAATATCAAATCATAACTTGTATAGACAATTAAAAGATAAAAAAACAGAGTGATCTTGGAACTAATCCATCATTATCCCTCCTACTCAACAACCTTAGGTGTCCCAAATCATCACAACCGCTATCACTCCCACGCCCAACAACACTGCAAGAAACTTGAAATAGGCCGAGTCAACCCTTGTTGGTTTGTGGGGCACGTACCCTTTTCCCAAAAGATGGTTTACTGACACATAGATAAACACCCCACAAGCCAGACCCATTGATATGGCAAAGATCCAATCCGCTACATGACCCTGTGTTGTGGCATCCAATATGATTCCAATGGCCACACCAATTGGACTTGAGATGGCAAAAGCGAAGGCATAGGCTGCACACGACATAAGGGGACGATCAGGAATCATTCTGAGGAGTGCAATACCCATTGCAATGGCTGCGAATATCTTGTGCAGACATATTGTCCATAATGCTTTCCATGCATCTGCTTTGGTCTCAGCAACTCCAATTGCTAAGCCCTCAAACACGGAGTGTACACAAAGGGCAACGATCAACAAGATGGTGTCTCCAATTGAACGGACAGATCCAAGTGCAGGGTTTGCTAAGTGATGATCAGTGGAATGGTTCTGTTAGCACAGGAAAATAACAAGTTAGGACCAAACAAGTGATGGCAAGCCTAAAATAGTGAAATGAAGTTGTTCCAAAACAACACTTTGGTGGTAAGCATCCATTGAACATTTGAATTGATATCATAACGAAAAAATAGGCCGTGTAAAATTTTACATTATAATCTAATTACAAATTATTAATATTTATGACAAGTTGTTGACTTTTATAATAAATAAGTAAAAAGTTATATTAATGATAGTTCCTGATTGATTAATGGAGTAAAATTACTTTACAGTTTACACTATCAATGTATCACTTGAAACTCTAAATATACAAAACCATGAATATCTAACCTGGTATTGAGACTGAGAAGTAACACCATTGCCACTTGCTTTGACTGTATCAGCCCCTGCAATGCAAATAGAAAAGGTAGCTTTGTTTTAGACAAGGTGAACCTAAGAATATTCAAATTAAATTTCATATATTTGCAAAATTGGTGTCCCATGATAATAATGACGAACTCAAGAAGTGCTATGATACTATAAGCCTGTATATATGCTGTACAGCACAATCATTCGGAAATTCTGACATCAACCTTCTGACTTGCTAAACAACCATGCTAAAATAAAGCAAAAGGCAATTATCCTTTTTGACTTTAATTTCTTTATGGTATTCAAACCATCGCAATAAGCACCGTTTATATATTAAGAGGTGGCTAAATAAGTTACCTATAAATTTCACCATTCAACAAAAAACTAAACAACTATAGTCTTAAATAAAAAAGTTTAGAAGATGAATCATTATTCATACCAAAATTGTACCAAAAACACAGACCTCAAAAACAGGGGACAAAATAATAGGACAAAACTTGAATGCTAAGTCCTTAAAAAGTCAATTATATATATATATATATATATATATATATATATACTGTACTTGAAGAGTAAGTCATATTTTGCATTATATTTCAACATTCAACCCTTAAACTAAAAACTTTTAATGAATAGATTTGCAAACTTTTTAAAAACTTGAAAATTATTTGATGTTTCAGATTGAGAGATAATTAAAAAAATGTTTTATATATTAATTTGAATCCGCATAATGAAATAATACACAATTTTATCTTTTTTTTAATTTATAAACTTATTTATGTATTAAAAAATTTTAATTTAATTATTAAATTATTAAAATATGATATAAAATATGAGTTATTAACGGAATCAATTCTATTATATTAGTTGGGAACTAACTTTTGTTTTGAAACTTCTAAAACAGGTTCTTAAATAAAACAATATATTACTATTACCGAGTCTTCAATCTTTTACAGCTTTTACAATAACTTACAAAAGTTAGTAAATCCGTTATAAATTATTACTTCCCTAACTATCTCAAACAACCATAAATTACCTTCAATGATCTACTTTTTCGTGAGAAATCAACAACTTAATTAAAACATTCTTTTAGTTTAAGAACTAAACCAAAAACACCCAAAACAAATTACAAACATTAAAAAAAAAAAAAAAAGAAACACGATTCTCCTCGAAGAGAAATAAAAGCAATGGCAAAACCAACTGAATTGAACTTGGCATAGAAACCAAACCAAACGAGCGAGCCAACACAAGCACAAGCACAAGCACGAGCACAAGAACAAACCTTGAACCTCGAGATCCTCTGCAGCAGCGCGGCCACGGCGACCCATCTTGTTCAAAACAGAGGAAATGGCGGAATCGGCAAGCAGGGTCATCAAGTAGCCGGAGCAGGCGAGCATGAAGGCGAAAGGGTACTCTTTTTCAGTCAAATCCCCGAAAGTCTCGTTGGCGTCGCTGAGAAAGTGCATCATGGCGGTGCCCAGAAACACCCCTCCGGCGAACTGGGTCCCCAGAACGAGGAACCCCTCGTTCCACTTCAGCACGTACGGCGAAACGCCCGACACGAACGTCGCCAAGAAGATCACTATCAGGCACCACACCTTCGCCAGAATCAAGGGCCTCGCGCGGAGGTCCGGGGCGGCGCCGCCGGAGTCCGCATCGGCGTCGTCGTCGTGGGCGGAGATGGGGCGGAAGAAGAGAAGGAAGAGTGCGAGGGAGAAGAGGAATGTGCGAAGAGAAGGAGACATTGAGAATGTGAATGTGAATGTGAATGTGAGTGAGAAGAATGAAGAAAGTGGGGTTTTAGAGTGGTTAGGTTTGGATTTGGAAGATTGTTTGTACTACACATGTGAGAGACACAGAGAACGTGTGTCTCTACTTGTACTACGTTGGAGTACTATAAATTATTAGCCACCATCTCCTTTTTTTACTTTTTATCCACTTAAATTACTTTTCTATTCTTTTTTATTAATTAAAAATTTTCATTTACTCGCTTCATTTTGAAATGGAAATAATTTGAAGGTAGGATTAAATAGAATAAAAATAATTAAGATTTTCCATAGTTCATAAAAAAAAAATTATTTACATATATTTGAGTTGGTAGTAAGTATATTGTATATTTTAAAAATTAAGGGATTAAATTAATTTTTTTTAAAAAAATAAAAAAATGAAATTAAAAGAATATAAAAAAAAAACTTATCATTTTTTTATTTCTATTATTTTTATGTAACAAAAAATAAGTACTCTTTTTTTATTTAAATATTTTTTATTCTTTTAAATTTAGAATAAATTTATTTTTAGTCTCTTAAATTTAAAATTATTATTTTTAGTTCATGTAACCTTTTAAAAATCTTGTTTTAATTTTTAAGGTTGTCAATAATATATTTAAAAGTGACAAATAAATACGACTATATATCATTAACTAAATTTAATATGATATTTTTACTAATAAGGATACTTGTAGATAAGTTTTATATGATAATGTTTAATAAATTTTTTAACAAAATTTGAGTATAAAAATTAAAATTAAAATTTTAAAATTATAAAGACTAAAAAAATTAATTTTAAATTTGAGAAACTAAAAATATATTTAAACTTATTTTTTTTACCAATTTTAGTAATACTTGTTAGTTAATCCATGTATTATTATTAAGATTTAATGGCAATACATTGTTAATATAAAAAATTTTATATGATTAATTAATCAAAAGTTATAACTTATATGATTTTAAGGTAATTATTATAAAGTCAATAAATTCATATTTTTAATATATTATCATTGAGTGAGTGTATAAAACTATTCTACACATTATTATTTCCATTAAATATATTACATATAATGTAAAAAAAAAAAAAGTTTAAAAGAAAAGCCTTTTAACAATGATTCTTTTGGCACAGGATATTGTTGCTAGCTCGCTCCAACGAAACTGGAGTAAAAAGCGCGTGTACGGCAAAAGACAAAACAAACGTCACAGGTCATTCATTCCATTATTCATTAGTTGTTCGTTGCAGCTGTCTTTATGACCTGCTCCTCTTCTTAATTAACTCATCTAAATTTCTTTTCCTTAATTTTTGTTTGCAAGACGGAGGAATAAAAAGACGATAAAATATAACATGTAAGAAATAGAATGAAATAAAAATTAATTTATTATTTTTTAGTAAAATAAAATTATATTAAAAATAGGATAAATTGTTTTTTTAAAATTTTTATTTTATATAATTGAATCTTTTATATAAAGTAAATAATATATGCAATTATTATTTCATATAAATATTTTTATTTAAATATAATAAATATTTTCATATTATAGTTATTTATTATAGTTTTATTAATTATTATTTTCAAAATTGAAGAATAATAATAAATTAATTTTTAATTTTTCTTTTCTTTTCTCACTTTAACTAATGAAGTTATTTTAAGGGAGGTGAATGATTTTTAAAAATTAGATGAAAGATGTATGTCATTTAAATAGACCTTAGGGAGGTGATTGTAATTTTCTGTTTTACTTATGTTTCATTCCAAATTTGAGAAGTATATTTTTGTCCCAATATTTAAAATACGTGTTTTTAGTTTCTAAAATTTTATAAATTATTATTTTGTTTCTTAAATTTAGAATTCATTTTTTAATTTCTATAATTTCAAAAAAAATATTGTTTTGATTTTCATATATATTTTTTGGTCCCTAAAATTTAAAACATATATTTTAAGTTCTCAAAATAAATTTTATTATTATTTTAGTTCATCTACTCAAATGTTAATAATATATTTGTTGCATAAAAATTTTCAAATGATGTCATTATTAATGAAAACATTATAATTTAATTAATATTATATATTTGTCTCAATATTTAATTATCAATTATGTTATTAGTAATCATGAGAGATTAAATTTTTTTTTTGGAAATTATAAAGACTAAAAAGTTAAATTTTACTGTTTAATTAAAATCAATGTTAAAATTAATTTACTGTTTTAATAACAAATTATGTTAATTTAATAGTTATTAAGATGATTTAACTAATCACTAAAGTGAGTAGTAACTGATAAAATTAAGTTCAAGTTACATTTAATTCAAAATTACATTTAACTCAATTAAGTTCAGTTTAATGGTTATTAAGATAATTTAACTAATCACTAAGGTGAGTAACTAATCAAATTAAGTTCAAGTTACATTTAATTCAAAATTACATTTAACTGAATTAAGTTCAAGTAACTAACTAACCCTGTCAACAACTTGCTTGCGAATGTCTTCATCATTCTGTAAGACCTTCATGAAATTTTGTAGATGCATAGAATGCAGTATATATTCATGTGTACTGTGTTGGGGTCGTGAGAACATCCATTACGTATGTAATCCTTCATTCATTCATATTCACATCCACTAGAGATGATTTATCTTTGTCATATTTATTTCTAAATGAAATTTTATTTATTTTTAAATATTAATAGTTAAAAACAATCTCATGTCACAATATATATTGTTTATTGTAAATTTAAAACATAACTTATATTTGAAAAATATTTATGTATTATAAATTTTAATTATAATATAATTAGTATATTCAAAATATTTATTTATATAAAATAAAGATTTATCTTATATATTTTACAAATTAAAATGCTAGTATATAATAATATTCGAGTAAAGCCTTTTTTTTTATTTCAAAAATGAGTTGAAATTATTTTTAAATTGATTTAAAATCTATTTTAACACTACTTTATCCAAACGTATTTTATTTTCGAATTTAAGTTTGATTACAAGAAATAAGAAACTCGTAACAATTCATTTAGTTCAAATCATAATTCATTTGTCTTAAAAGATTTGAAATAATCTCTTTTATCTACTTTTCCTCTAATCAAATACTAGTATTTAATTATTACTTTTAGAGTTAAATATAATTTTAGACTTTTTAAATTAAACAAGTTTTAGAAAAATTTACAGAAATCAAAATTAAAACTTGTTTAATTTAAAAAGTCTAAAATTATATTTAACTCTAAAAGTAATAATTAAATACTAGTATTTGATTAGAGGAAAAGTAGATAAAAGAGATTATTTCAAATCTTTTAAGAGGAAATGTTAAGGACCACTTTTTCTTCCGTAGACTTTATGTCGTTTTCTTTCCGTGGACTTTTGATTTGAAGTCGCTTTTCTCTTATCTTTAGCGTCTCGTTGCCGTCGTCTCTATGATATTTTCTAGTTTCTTATTCTTTAGAGCCACACAAATGGGAAAGCACGTTGAATTCTTTTGTCATATGTGATTAATTAGCCATTGTGTAGATATGATTTATGTAATTGATGGATGATTGATGAATAGAGGAGACCCTTGATATAGGGTTCACTGGTTTATCCTAAAAATCAGTCGGATCATATCAGTTTATACCGAGTCAATGACACATCTAATCTGATAAGAGATTTGAACCAGTTTTTAGATAGACCAACCAATTCAAGCCTGCTTTTAATTAAACTATGTTTACGATGATTTAAACGTAGCGAAAAAATTAGTCATTGCGATATTTTAGGGATAAAAAAAAATTATATTTATAGTGTTTGATCCAGTGTTTTAAAATCTGGACTGACCCGGCCGGTCGGACTGGTTGGACCGGGAACCGGTGGTCCAGCCGATTCGAATCTGAAGTTGGATCGATATGCAGTCGACCCGTTTCAAACCGGATTGAACCGGTCAATTTTCCGGTTCAACCAGTGAACCAGTGGGTCAAACCGATTCAACCACTTTTTTTTTTATTAATTTTTTTAAGGGACCATAAATCACAAAAATAATAATGAAAATTGAATCTCTTAATGAAAAAGCAAGGAGTCTTATTAAATATAACAATGATTACTTGTTCTAATATATTTGTTTGCAATATATACAACTTAAATAACTTTTATAGTATATTATTAATTTTAAATTATATATTTAATAATGCAATATCTATGTAAATATTACATATATTATTTTGTGATATTAATTGCAAGCATATTATATATGTATATATTATTTATATTTTTAATTTGTATTAATATACCATTTAACATGTAATTTTTTTATGTATTTTTTTACAAAATAAAAATAAAAATAATTTAAAATAAAAATAAAAATAATTTTAAATAAGATAGAAAAATTAAAATTTAAAATAAGATATGAATTTATTAAAATTTATAAGTATAAAATATATTTAATATGAATACTTTTTAATAAAAATTAATAAAAATCGAGTCATGCGGTTCAACTAGTGATCCACCGATTTAACTTTTGACCAACTGATCCAGTACCTTAACCGGTTTGATGACCGGTCCGATTTTTAAAACTATGGTTTAATCTATTATTTTGTTAAGGATAATAGTTATAATTTAAAAAAAGTAATAATATTTTTGCTTTAAAAAAAATTGCATATCTAGCTTGTACCATATATGGAATAGTTAATCTAACATTTATAACTCTTTAAGTTGAACAGGACGATGATCTGGGTGAGATATAATTACATGGTTATGAACTTATGATCTTACATATTTTTTGGCCCAATTCTAATTATGACGAAAAGTCTCAAAATGTAATTTTTTTTATAATTATATTTTTTTATGAAATATTTATCGACTTTGTGAATATAATTAGTTTATGATAAAATTAATTAATCATCTTTAATAAAGTCTTCTTTTTCAACCATATTTTTTATTTATCTATATAACTCGAATAAGAAACTTTATTTAAAGAGATCAAATAAGTGATATTTCACCTATAGTGAATATCTCCTTGTGTGGAACTTGATAAAATAATATATATATATATATATATATATATATATATATATGTTGGGATATAAACAAGTCTCATATCGATAAAATAAGACAAGAAATAACAACTTATA